CTATATGGTACTATTTGGACTAATTTTGTTATTTTAACTAGGTTTTTTATATATATATTGTTTAATTCAAATTTTTGTTTTAATTTTTAGAGTGGTTTTGGATTTCTAGTTGTTTTCTAGTAAATATAGAGTTTTCTATCCTATTTATAGGTTTTATAAATCTCTAAAGGGACGGACTTTATTAGTTTTTTTAGATAAATAGATTATAAATTTAAAATTTATATTTATAACTTTTTTTTCTCATTAAAATTATTATGTTTTTATATTGATTTTATCCTTAATGCTTTCTAAAGCCTAGTGAAACTCCCTAGATAATGTTTGATTTCTGTCCTGGTTATAGGATAGAAGGGACATAGACTACTACAAGGAGTGACAAGAGCAAAAACTTATTTTTATCTTCATCTCTGAAACAAAATTAGAGTTAATTTATGAGCATTAAAAAAAAAAAGTGATACAGTAGGGGCATGTAAGACTTAATTTCTAAAAATACCCTTGAAGCTGAAAAGAGGAGGTATTGCTAGTTCACATTCTATAGAAGTCATCGTCGCATATTCGAATCTGCAGTCTGCTCTGCTCTGGGATTAACACCACTTTCTTTGGAGCACTGAGCCATGGTGGTAGGTATAGTTGTACAAGGAGGGAGAGAGCGAGAAGGGAGCTTGTAAAACGTGCATCTATATCTAACAGTGTTTTAAAAATTTTAAAAATTAATTTTTTAAAATATTTTTAATTAATATTTTTAATGTGTTAATATAAAAAAAATTGATAGATATTATTTTAATATATTTTTAAATAAAATTTATTTTAAAAAATAACCTTTACCATATTTCTAAATAAATTCTAAAATGATTTAGAAAGTTCATATTTTAAGATATTATGAGGTTTTATATTTTCGAGTTTCATTTTTTTAGCTTTTATTTTCTATAGACAAGGCTTGAAATGCTGTAGAAGTAGAAGAGTAAAACAAATATCAATATATTGAACCAAGAATCTTTTTTTTTCACTATCTTTTCCTATTTTTTAACAATAATTTTTTTCTTATTTATATATTTGCTTTCTAAATTTTTTTTTATCATTCCATCATATAAATATTGAAGATTTTTTCTTATTTATATATTTGCTTTCTAAAATTTTTTTTATCATTCCATCATATAAATATTGAAGAAAATTAACTATTTTAAGTAGATTGTAAATTTTTCTTCATTTATGTCTTTGAAAAAATGGATTAACCAATGTAAACTACAATTTATTAGATAAATAATATTTATTATAACTTTATATTAAAAATAAAAATAATTAATAATTTAATAATTTATTTCAAGTTTGATAGTAATATATACATATTAAAAGTATAGCATGTATTTTTTTTTTGTATTTTCTTATGTTTTATTCTTTATCAATTAAATATAATACAAAAATATTCACTTTTTCTTATCGAACACAACTCTATTTTCATCTTTACCTCTGTTTCTTCTGTTTAGAGACAATACTATATGTTACCTAACAATTGTGTAACCATCTATTTCTTTTACTAAAAGTCCAAGACCAAATATATTATATATTATTGTTGTTGTTGTTACAGAAAAAAAATTAAAAAAACCTCATAAAATATTATTTATTGTAAGAATATTTTTTTGCCTAACTCTATTTTCATCTTTACCTCTGTTTCTTCTGTTTAGAGACAATACTATATGTTAACTAACAATTGTGTAACCATCTATTTCTTTTACTAAAAGTCCAAGATCAAATATATTATATATTATTATTGTTGTTGTTACAGAAAAAAATTTAAAAAAACCTCACAAAATACTATTTATTGTAAGAATATTTTTTTTGTCTTTGTTTTTTTAATTTATATTTTTTTAATTTAATTTTTCAACATTTAATTTATTAAAAATTAAACTTTATGGTTTGTGAGATGGTGTTTTTACTATTCATTACATCATAAAACACTATTTATTGCAATAATATTTTTTTATAATATATGTTTTATTTTATTTCATCATTCAACATTTTGTGTATTAAAAATTGAGCTTCACAATGTATTATGATTTACTTTTTATGTGGTTATATTAGTTTCATGATTTCTATTGTGGGTTTGACACGTTAACACGATTTACTTGATTTTTTTTCTAGTTTTTAATTAGTGTTTTCTTGGTTTTATTTTTTAATATTGATAAACACTATTTATTGCAATAATATTTTTTTTATGACTTTATAATTTATTTTGGTTTGCATTCTATGAGGTTATTCTGATACCATAACCTCAAATTTGAATCATAGGTTTTACAAGTTAACTTGGTTTGAATCAAATAGTTTTATTATGTTTAATTTTTAGATTACTTTTTTTAATTTCATTCTTCAACAATAGATTAATAGAGAATTGGACTTTATGATTTATTTTAACTTGTTTTCTATGATTTTATATTACTCTGGATATTCAAATCATGAGTTGTTAAGTTAACTCAAGTTAAATAGGACTATTCTTTTTGTTTATTTTTTATGAGGTTATTTCGTTCTCATGATCTAGGTTATGAGTTTGACGGGTTAATTTAAATTGACTTAAATTTATTTTTTATATTTTTTTAATTGAATTTTTTTTTAGTTTCATCACTCATCATTGAGTTTATTAGAAATTAGGCTTTATAATTTATTTGGATTATTTTTATAAGATTATTTTTGTCTCATGACTTGGTTCGTAAGTACTTTAGCAAGCTAATTAACTTATGTTGACTCTACTTGTTTTTTAAATTATTTTTAAAAGAATTATTATATATCTTAAATCATGAATTTAAAAGGTTAATCTTGACTAACATAGTTGATCTAGCAAATTGTCATAGTATATTTAATTATAAAAATGTTATTTGATTTTTTTTAATTGAATTATATTTTTACTTATCATGTTTAAGTTGTATTTAAACTTAATAAATTAATGAGATTGTATCGATCGACCTCGACATAATTTAATCTTTTATTAGGACAAAATTAGCAATGAATGGAAATCTTTTTACATTGAAAATACAGGAAGACAGCAAACCTCACAAAAAAAAAAGGACATTTTAGCCATAAAGGATATGAAGGATAAAATGATAGCAAGGTCCTACCGATGGAAGAGTTTGTGTGTTTGTACAGTGCATCGCATAAAAAAAAAAAAACTGTTTTTTATGCACAGCACAAACAAACGAAACCGATGGAGATACTGTCAATAAGCACTCCACAAGAGAAAAGAATCACGCCATACGGACGTCCGAGGGCTACAATAGCATCCAAAAATGGAGTCGGAAGTAGGTAACAGTGGCCTCGAGAAATTTATCATAGACCACCAACCCTTCACCATCTTGGCCTTATTCCCTTGACGGGGACAGCTTCCTCTATTCTCTCTGGGACACAGATATTAAACCGCCGGGATAACGACACGTCATCATCAAATACAGTGGAAGGGAGGGGTTACACGTCAGTCACCTGGGCTCCCATCATTGCCGGTGGGTCAGAAGGAAATGTAGGAGAAAGCTCTAACACAGACAGGACAAAACAACCAGTGGACATCTTAAATAAGAACCATCAGAGCATGTGTCTTGCTGGGCTCCATGCTACCCCAGTATATTTGGCCAGTGTTCATGGTAGTTAGGGTTCCGTTTTATTATTATCTTAAACATATCGAGACACTACGTTACTGCAGGATTTCTCATATATTTCTTAACAATGAGAGCATCTTCCTCTTCACATGCTCTTCTGTGTATCAGTGTTTGTATAACAAAGAGTCAATTAATAACATGATGAGCTCTTTGTTTAGTCGAAATGGTGTTGGTAAAGCTGGCCCAATATGTCTGTGCTGGCTCGAGCGAGGAGCACTTGCTAGCAACATGCTTTGCTGGATATTTGTCCTTTATTTTTTCCAGTCTTTGCTGTTCAAGCTAAAAGCCTTGCACTCTGCTCTCCCAAGTCACACATGGTCTTATCGCCATGTAAACTCTCTGTGCCTCCTTAAAATGTATAATTGGAGCCATTTCTTTATGCATCTTGAGCATTGAGTGGCAAAATAATTAGTCTTTGTTCCCTGAAGAGGAGAGTAGAGATGTACAGCATCTAAAATATTCAATCCATCACCGATTCTTAATTAATTATTAATTATTATCATGAACAATTGACCAGTCCTCGTGGAAAAATGATTGGCTTAATCTCATTAACACCACTGGATTGCACCAAGCATATTCTTTTGCTTTCTTTAATGTGTCTCAAAACATACTAAGCTATTCTTTTCACAAGTTAACTTGTTGAAATCAATGGTGATTGCAGTGATGAGTAGTGTGGTGGTTGATTTTTAAAGTGAATGTTAATTAAAAATATATTTAAATAATAAATTTTAAAAATGTTATTTTTTTATAGCATATCAAATTTAAAATTTTAATCTTAAATAAAAAAAATTTGACTTATTTTTGTTTAGGAATATGATTGTGGTTGTTTTTCAAGTAATTTTTCTTGTCAAAATACATGCTAATAATTTTTTTATTTTTTAAAAATTATTTTTAACATCAGTATATTAAAATAATTTAAAAATACTAAAAATATATTAATTTAAAATAAATAAAAAATAAAAAATTAATTTTTTAAAATATTTTTAAAACACAAAAACGTTTTAAAATAACTTCCTTCAGCAAATTTTTACAACTAGCAGCCTCTAATCATAGCAGGTTAATATTCGGTATTCTTTGGGTTAATCCGAACTTTAGGTTTTTCATAAAAACAATTTAAAACAAAGTTTTCTTAATATAAAAAATGAGTTTTTTTAATTCACTTAACTCGAGGCAAACCCTGGATCAGCATATCACATATTTGACCTATTGAATAGTGGTGTCAATCAAAGGGGCCACCTTGATAGATGAAATGCAGATATACAAGTTTCGGCAAGAGAAATGCCACGTGGCTAAACATGGTTCTTCATTAACTCAAATCTTTCCTTAATACCCACCACATGATCATCTTTATAAACAATTTCCATGTTACGGGGAATCAATCACATGCCAACCTTCCACCACTCACTGCTTAGTTGTCTCACTATCTCTTTTAGATCCATTTCCCTAATTTCTTTGTCTTCATCTTCTCAAAAAGGCTTATTTTACTGCAGTCAGGAATCTTCAGCTCACTCAAGCACACACACAGGCATGTTCCTATATAAGTGAAGGTATAAAAAATATCAAGCACAACATGCAGGTTAGCTTTGTTGAGCTTGACATTATCATATAATGAGATGTGTGGAGTTCACATCAAAGCTTATGTTCACTCTTGAATGAATGTAGCAGACATTCCACAAGCTCTTCAGGGTAACACATGAACAAGCTAGAGAACATACATCCATCCCTGCCACATAAAACAACAGTAATGGTGAGAAATACCATCAGTACATAGTACCTGGTTCTTAAACATGTTGCACATTAGTATCTGTTTATTAAATAGGCATAGCTCTTTTCCTTACAAATTTCATTGTAAGCAGCTACAGGGAGAGAGATAATTTCAGCTACAGGGAGAGAGATAATTTTGTTGAAGTATAGTGGGAATCGTCGAAGATCAGAAAGGGTCAGAGAGAGAGATAGATTTGGTTTAAAATATTCCTGGCCATTTGCATTTTTATGCAGAAAAGATGTTGCAAAAGCTTGCTTCTACAGCACACTTTATCTGAAAAGGATTAATAGCTACAACAGTAGACAGCAGCATTGCATACGCTCTAGGAAGATGAAGCAAGAAGAGACTGCTGCACGAGGACAAGTCACGAGTAACAAAGTGGATCCAGCTGCTCATGCTGGTAATAAAATTTTACCAGTGAGTGACACGACATTGTCGTCCTCAGCCAGCACAAATGAAAAATTTAGCACGTTGGAGAAGAAAGAAGTTAAAAAAGGAGATAAAGCCAAAGTCATATCGAGGATGAAGGAACTATTGAGATGGGCTGCCGCTGCAAAATCTGAGAAAGCAGGAAAATATATCGGCCGGAAGGTAAATTTTTTAACATATTTGAGTCATTAATCTTCTCCCTGAACCGGAAAATTTAAAATTTCTCCTCTCTCGACATGTTTGGACGTTTGAGCTCATTAAGTGCACGCAGTATCATTCTCTGGCCATATTAAAACAAGGGCTTAAGCAGGTAGTGCTGCCTGATACGGATTTTACATTACTGCTCTCAAGACTGTAAAATCGAGCTGCCAATACCAGCTTGTTTAAACGATCTCTTTCTGTGATACTTCAGGTTCTGCAACTTAGAAGCCGAGCAACCCTTAAATCAGTACCAGATGATGAAGAACTCAGCATCGAGTCTCCCAAGATCAGTTTTAGATGGGATGTTGAAAGCTGCTCAACCACTTCCTCTGCCTACTCAGGCATTTCAAAGGCTTCTTCCAAGAATATGGACCTCAACATGCTGTCACTGAGTTCCACTCCTGTTCATGACAGGAAGGGAAATTGGATCACAACAGACTCCGAGTGTAAGAGCAACTCCCTCTAGTCTATCCATTCTTGACACCCCCCCTCAAATTTACTAACACTTCCAAATGGTATTCTGATATTGGACAGTTGTGGTGCTAGAGCTATGAAGAAAAAAGCCCAAGGATGGTCAATCTCCATGGCAACTGAATTGAATCAACTTGTTCAATTAGGCTTTGAATCACAGCTAGATTGTTTTTCTTTCCTTCTTTCGTTGTCTTTCCTTTATTTTTCCTTTGAGATATTAGTCGATTCCTTGTAACAATATCAATGTAACATGATCTGAAATGTGATCAGCTTATGTCTTGTTCCAATTATAGAGTTGTTGGGGTGAGATAAATGCATGGCGTGAAGTGAGGAAGTCTAGTGACGGTGTCTTTAGAGCAAGAATATGAGTTGAAAAGGAGCTTCAATGGAGGAAATGAAGACCACAAAAAATGCTTAGGTTAGGTAGTGCATTATGTGTGGGATGTTTAGTGACAAGGTGCAAATTATTTTTATAAAAATATTTTGTAATTAAAATAATGTTTTTTCAAAAAAAATTATATCTAACATGTAAAAATTATAAAAAATAATTAAAAATATTTATTCGATATTTTTTAAAATAAAAAACAGTTTAGACGTGAGGTGGATTTGCTACGAGAAAGGTCTCGAGTGTGTGAGATTGATAAATGAGTCAAAAAGATAAAAAAAAAGATGGTGTACCTAATTTTATGCCCTTGTACCACAGGCATCCGGTCTTCTGTCCTACCTATGATATAACTATTTAAATAATATTATTTTCTTTATAAATATTGTTTCCAGTTACTCTAGCAACACCACCAAAACTAGAGTGGGGCTCCAAACTAGAGTCAGGTTTAACTTGACTGAAGTTACTTAGATTACATATTTATTGACATCATTTTATTAAAAAAATAAAAAGAGATGACATCATTTTAAATAAAAAAAATAAAAAAGTTTTTGGAGTTTACTTAATTAGATATAGTCCGAATTTATTCGTGTTAACTAGATTTTATAAAATTAAACTAAGTTTATTAAAATCAATCTTTCAACCAGTTTGAAAGAAAATATAACTTGGATTAGGTTTGCAGTATTACGCAATGCTACGGCTGAAACAGTTTTTTTATTAGTAAAAAAAATAATTGAGTGATGAAAAAGTGTTTAAAAAAAATTTAAAAAAAATGTTGAATTCCAAATACAAACAAATCCACCATAAAAGCATGAAATTGAAGAAAAAATAAACTAAAAAAGGACAAAAATAAGAAAATCAAGAAAGTTAATCAAACTTTGTGACGCTTACCATACCAATGAGATAATTCAACAGAAAATAATTTATAAAAAAAATATAAAATTTAATTTTAAAACAATCAATGCAAATCATGTAATAAAAAAATTAAACTTGAAAATAATCATAAAAAACTTAAATTAATATACCAAACTTAAAGTCTAAATAAAAGGATATGAATAAAAAAAATCATGAAACTCTATATACCATCTAAGATAGGTGGGTCATACTCCATATACTACACCACGCTCTAGTCTAGAATTCTCCATGGTAAAAAAAATAGTGTCAAGGAGACATAAGTGCCTCTATAAAAAAAAATTCAAGAAGATAAAGTAAAATTTTAAATTAATAAATTATTGAGAGATAAAATTGAAAAAAATAAAAAACAATGAAAAAAATTAAAAAAATATCAATAAAAGGAAAATTAATGGTCAAACACAAAAACAAAAAAAAAATACAATGAAAAAGAGAAGATTTGAGTGAGCCTAAGCTGGACTCTAAACCCATTATTTATTTATTTATTTATTTATTTATTTTTATTAACGTGGGTGTCCGGGCCAGCTTGTGCGCACCACGACTAATCCCACG